CTACATGCAACAACCAATGTTGCAGTAAGGACCAGTAAAATAACAGACGGGGACGAATTCTGCAAACTCCAAATTGCTCCACAAATATAAAAGGAGTAGAAAAGAATGAGAGCCAGCAGGTGGTGTAGTGTTTAAGGCACTGTACTCCCATGTGACTGACTACAGTTTGAGTCCTAGACCCAGCAGCTTAAAATTCAGGCTGGACACACATGCATGCATGCCCAAAATTCTTGAGAAGAGAATGGAGAAGAGACTGTGGCCTGGTCATACCCCTGAGAGGTGATTTCTTCCTTTCTGTCTCTGGCAAGTGCATGCATCCTATAGCAAAAAATCTCTCAAAAAAAAAAAAAAAAAAATGAATAGGGGGCCGGCAGATGGCGTGGTGGTTAAGGACACTAAACTCCCACATGGTCGACTGTGCTTTGAGTCCTAGACCTGGTGGCTTGCTTTTTCACTTTCTCTTTCTCTCTCTGTCCCTCTCTGGTCAAACTAGAATAAATAAATGAATAAAATGAATAAATCTAAATAAAATCATTCTTAAAAAAAAAAAAAAGAATGTGTTTAGGAGATCTATTGTACATCAAGGTAACAATAGTTACGCTGCATACCTGAAAATTGCTAAGTGAGTAGATTCTCACCACAAAAAAAAGTCATAAGGATATGAGATAATACATAAATTCATTAGCTTGACTGAGTCATTCCACATGTTTTAGATTTTACTATAGGATGCATGTGCTTGCCAGAGAGAGAGAGAGAGAGGTGAGAAAGCACCCCCAAATGTGGCACGATCATGCCACAGTCCCTTTGCCTCTATTACCACATCATGCTGGGATTTTTAGATACATGTGCCAAGATATTTTTCAAGCTGCCAAGGCTGGGATTTGAATCATGTGGTCAGCCATGTGGGATCTGGCTTCCTCAACTACTAGACCACAGGCCAACCCAAGTACACCACAATTACATAAAGTTTTTATTAGTCAGTTAAAAAAATAATAATAAAGGGGGAAAATATAAAAGGAAGACTTACGTAAAAAAAATTATTAAAAGCAACTTACTTCGAAAAAAATCTGTGCTTCTGTGTGTCCCATGCTCATGGACTAGAAAACTCCCTTCTACTCAGACATTAATTCTCCCCAACCAATCTATAGATCATTTAAAATCCCAGCAGGATTGTTTTTTGTAGAAATCAACAAGCTCATTGTAAAACGTTATGGATAAGCAAAGCAACTTAGAAAAAAAAAGGAGTTGGAGGACTCTCATTGCCTGATTGCAAACCTTCCTATAAGGGTACAGTAATCAAGACACGATGGTGTTAACAAAATGACAGACCAAAGGAACAGAAGCCAGAGTCCAGAAATAGACCCACACATATATGCTTAACTGGTTTTCAACAAAGGTGCCAATGCAAATCAAAAGAGAAAAAAGTCTGTATAATAAACAGTGCTAGAACAATCCCTATGCAATAAATAAATAAGTGAACCTAAGTAGGGCAAAGTGGCATGTGTCTGGAATCCCAGAGACTTGGGGCACTAAGAAAAGGGGATCACACATTTGAGGCCTATCTGGGCAACAGAGCAAGACTCTGCTTAAAAGCTTTTTTTGATTTTAAAACACTGAAAAAGTGGGACTCAAACCCATACTTTGCATCACATTAAAAAATGACTCTGGTGGAGCCAGCAGATGGCATGGTGGTTAAGGGCACTGGACTCCCACATGGCCAACTGCAGTTCAAGTCCCAGACCTGGCAGCTTACTTTCTCACGTTCCTTCTCTCTTTCTCTCACTCTGCCCCTCTCTGGTCAAATTTAAATAAAGTTAAATAAAAATAATTCTTAAAAAAAAAAAAAAAAAATACTGGCTTAGCCACAGCATACACTAAAAGATGTTGCTACTTGAAAGTGAAGGGTATGGGGGGGGTGTCCAGGTACAATTCCCAGCCCACTCTAAAAGCTAAGCACTGTAGCACATGCCTGTAATCCCAGAAACTCAGGAAGCTGTGGCAGGAGGATTGAGACATAGTAAAACCCTAAATAAAACAAACAAACAAACAAAAACTCATAATTACCTAAGTGTAAAACCAAAAACTTCTAGAAGAACACATAGTTTAAAAAAACCTTTGTGACCTTGAGTTATGCAAAGGATTCTTAGAAAAGACTGAAAAAGCACAAATCATAATCAATAAACTAGACTGCATTGAAACCTAAAACTTCTGCTCTTTTTTGGGCTAGGAGGTAGCATGGAGATTAAGGAAGCCCGATCCCACATGGCTGACTGCCCAGTTTGAATCATAACAGGCACATGTGCACGCATACCCCAAATCCCAAGAGAGTCGAGGGGAAGGGATTGAGGCAAGACCATTACCCCTGGAGGGTGATTTCTCACTTTCTTTTTTTTTTTCCTCTCCAGCAACTGCATACAACTTATAGCAAAAACTAAAAAACAAAAAATAAAATTAAGGCCCAGCCTCCATAGTGCAGTCCATTGTACACCAGACTGAGGAGCTGGAAGCCATAGGCTGACCATGGTTTGAGTCCCCAGCCTGGCTGGCCTGAAAACATGCCAGATGTAAATATACATGTCCAGAATCTTGGCAGGTTCAAGGACTGAAGGAAGAGGACTGAAGTATAACCAAGCCCTGTAGAGGGTACTTTCTATCTCGCATACACACTCTCTGGCATTTAAAAAAAAAAAAAAAGATGAAATGTACAGTAGTAAATTATACCTCAAAAAAGTTTACTTTGGACTCCCACATGGCTGACTGTGGTTCAGGTCCCAGACCTGATGACTTGCTTTCTCACTTTCTCTCTCTCTCTCTCTGCTCAAATTAAAATAAACAGATGGATAAAGTTAAATGAAATAATTCTTTGAAAAAAAAAAAATCTGAGGGGCCAGCAGGTGGTATGATGGTTAAGGATGCTGGACTCTCACATGGCTGACCACAGTTCGAGTCCCAGACCTAGCTGCTTACTTTCTCACTTTCTCCCTCTCTTTCTCTTTTTTTTCCTTTCTCTCCCCCTCCTCTCCTCCCTCCCTCTCTGGTCAAATTAAAATAAATAAATAAATAAAGTTAAATAAAATAATTTTTTGTAATTTGAAAAAAAAAAAAAAAACACAATCTGGTGGGTCTAGCAGGTGGTGTGGCGGATAAGGTACTAGACTCCCCATATGGCCAACCACAGTCTGAGTTCTGAACCTGACGGCTTAAAAATCACACCTGGCGCATGTTCATGAGTGCCCAAAATCCCAAGATAAGAGCAGAGAAAGAAGAAGGGATTGTGGTAAGGCCATCTCCCCTGAAAGGGTTATTTCTCACTTTTTCTCTCTCTCTCCTCTCTCCAGCCAGCACACATGCCCTCTAAGAAAAATTTTAAAAGGATATCTGGGCTGCTTCCATTACCTAATGGTTATGGTAGCCCACATGGATGACCTCACAGTTCAAATCCCAGACCCAGTGGCTGAACAAACATGCCAGGCCCATATGAATGCATGCCCAACAATGCCAAAAGGAGGATAAAAGAGAGAAGAAAGAATTGCAGTGTGACCACTCCCCATGGGAAGTGCTTTTCCTCTCCTCCTCTGACAAATACAGAAGCCCTCTGGCAAAAAGAAAAGAAAAACGAAAAAAAACCTGTAGCCCAGCTACACTGGATAAGCATGCATACCTGTGATCTCAGCTGGCTAGGAAGGCTAATGGAATGATCATGTCATGAGACCCTGTTGAGGGTACTTATCTTTCTTTTTTCTTTTAAAGAATTATTTATTTAATGTTTTATTATTATTATTGTTATTTTAGAGAGAGAGATTTTTGTTATAAAGTGCATGTGCTCGCTGGAGAGATAGAAAGCGTGAAATCACCCCCCAGAGGGGATGGTCACACCACAATCCTTTCTCTTCCATTCTCGTCTTGGGACCTTGGGCACACATGCACATGCACCCATGAATTTTAAGTATGAATTTTAAGTACAAATTTTAAATCATCAGGTCCAGGACATGAACTGTGGTCAACTACATGTGAGTCCAGCAATGTAACCATTACACCATCGCTGGTCCCATTATTATTATTTTTTAATTCACTATAGGGTACATGTTCTTACCAGAGAAAGAGGGAGAAAGAGAGAGAAAGTGAGAAAACAAGCTGCCAGATGCAGGACTCAAACCATGATCAGCCATGTGGGAGTCCCACACTTTAACTACCATGCCACCCACTGGCCCCAAAGATACTTGTCTTTCTAACTGTCATAAAAGAAATGAATGAATAAACTTAAAAAAAAAAACAAAAACCTGTGATTCCAAGATTCCCTTTTTTTCTCAGTTTGTCAGAATTCTCAGTCTGTAAGAGGGCTTCTATAGGCCTAATCAAGGATAATGTGAGCATCAAAATTTTTTCAAGAAGTTATACATTATGGGAAACCATAAAACTATACACAGATATAAATGCATGTAAAAACTGAAGGGTTAATGAGAGTCAGGATTAAGTACCTCCTCAGCAAATATTGTTCATTACAAAGGGGAAAAGAATGACTTTACAGTTGAGATGCCTGACAGACACCACCTTAATTAATAAAAGAAAACATCATTAGTAACAGAACAAATTGAACTATGTACCCCATGGCCTGGTGGTTAAGGGAGCTGAATCCCACATGATTGACCATGAGGTTCAAATCCAAGTCTTGTTGGCTTGAAAAACATACCAGGTACATGTATATGAGTGGCCCAAATCCCAACAGAATGGAGAAATGGAGAAGGGATTGTGGTGTGACCACATCCCATGGGATGAATTCTCCCTTTCCCCACCTCTCTCTATCTGTAGTGAGTACATACACCCTCTAGCAAATTTTTTTAAAAAAGAAAGACAAAAGAAACTGTAAGAATATGGATGGACTTTCCAGAAGACTGAATTATACCTAGACCCAGTTTATCCTTTAAGATCTTATCTTTTTAGAGATAATCTTGCTTATCTTTTTACACTGCATTCAGCTTTAAGTACACATCTGGAGGTACCTGGAACTCTGATGCACTGCTCCGCAGCTGGCTCACATTGGGTAAGGATCCTCCATGGTACTGTGTAAGGCGCAGTTGCTGAAGTTTCTGAAATTGAACCTGGAAACAAAGCAATTTCAAGAACATTAAGAGATGACAGCAAAGATTCAAAAGAAGCACCAAAGTATAGCAGTTTGCAGCAGAATGGTTCAAAAATGAAAGTCTTGGTTTCAATTTTTTCTCTACTTCAATGAATACTACCTTCAGATTTCTGGTACTTTTTGGTTTTGATTACTCTCGTTTTAGAAAGAATTAGCCATGTTACAAATGTCCCAGGTACTTTGATAGTAAGGTATTTTTGCAAGGTGTAGGTATGTAGGCACGATCTTTAACAACAATAAAAGAATTTCTTAAAGAAAAACCAGGCATCAGGGACCAGCAGATGGTGTAATGGTTATTTTGCTAGACTCCCACACAGTCCACTGCAGTTCAAGTCCTGGACCCAGCACCTTAACCTCATGCTGGGCAAGTGTGCATGTGTGCCCAAAATCTCGAGAGGAGAACGGAGGAGAAGGAATTGCAGTGTGGCCATCCCCCTCTGGGGGGAATAATTTCTCACTTTTGATCTTTCTCTCTCCAGCTCTCTGGCAAGTGCATGTGCCCTATAGCAAAAACCTCTCTAAAATGAAAAACAAGGCTACAACCTATGACCCTACCTCATTAACTGTTTTTCCCTTCCTTTTTTAAAAAATAATTATTTAATTTTATTATTATTTTTCAAATTGCTATAAGGCATATGCACTCACCAGAGATAGTGAGAGAGAGAGGGAAAAAGTGAGAACGTAAGCCATCAGTCCCAGGACTCAAACCATTGTTGGACATATGGGAGTCCAGCGCCTTACCCACCATGCCACTTGCTGGTTCCTTTTTTTCCCTTTTTGACACTCTTCTCGTCTCCACTTACATTTATATATAATAAATGCACAGCTGTGACTGTAATATAGGAACAACCTTGCTCACTTAAAAGCCTTTTCTATATTGTTACATAATCATATTTAATGGCTATATAACACTTCTTCTTAGTTATATCCTTAGGGCGCATTCCAAAAAGTGATTTCTAAATCTCTGGGTAAGGGCCTTTTGATGGTTCTCAATACCTACTGCCAAAATGCTTACCCAAAAGGCTTACCAATATACGTATGAGAAAATGGTTTCATCAACCAACTCACTAACACTGGATATTAGCATTAATTGGGGTGAGGAAGGAGGCCAATTCAACAGGTATAAAACAGTCTCCCACTGCTTTAATATGCCTTTCTTCAGTTAAGTTCTTCTTTACTTCATTTTTCAAAAGGCAGTAAATTAGTTACAGTTCTTGTAAACCCCAAAGTGATCCAATGCGGTCTTTAAGAGTTCTGTCTCTAAAATAATAAATTAGTTCTGTGGTTACATAACCCTTGGCACTTGTAATACATATAGGGAAGAAAGTGGTTATAGACAAGAGCCCTAAGGCAGATTTTTGACCTTTCATTACTCTCTTTGACTAGTAACAATAAAAACTACTGGGTCTGAACCCCTAGGACGAGATGCTTAGTTTACGTGATCCCTAGTCCTCCCATAACCATGCAAAGGAGACTATGATATTCTGCTTTCACAGATCTGGAGACCCAGACTCAGGCAAGTTCAGGGACTTGCCCAAGGTCACACAGCTAGAGGGAGGTCCAAGCCTTGGCTGTCTAACTCATTGCTTACATTCCTATTTTTGCCTAACTCTTTTCTCTTATCCCATTTCTCTCAATGATCTTCCTATTTATAAAAAGAAAAATTTTTAACAAGTAGTTAGATGGACTGAAAGCATTGCTGAGCCAATGAAGCTCGCTGATTTTGTTTACATTTATTCGGGAAAATTTTAAATACTGGGTTGTCAGAAAAGTCATAATGTATTTTTTCTGTTTTTCTAGGCAAAAATGTGTCACGTCTTTTCTGACTACCAATACATACAAAATAGACACGTATATTAAAGCCCCATCTCCCAGTTTCAACAATTACCAACTTATGTTCAACCTTGTTTCATCTTTACCCCATCCATTAGCTATTGCGTTTCACTGAAAGAAACTCCAGACACCTTATCATTCTATGTTGCATCTCCAAACATAAGGTCTTGTATTTGTTTGGAAATGTTAAAAGGTATAAAACCCCTTAGTGGCCTTGACTTCCTTATACCTGCAGGATTTGCTTTCTCAAACATACCGCACAGGCAGATGGTTATAATCTATTAATCAAAACCCAGATCTCAGAGTTAAACAAGACGAGAACATGGTGAGCTTTTCCCATCTATGAGCTGCGTTTAAGAATAAGGTCTTTCAGCTTTCAGTTTGAATGTTCTAAAAGCACTGACTAGACTCAAGGAGTCTCTCTCCTTGAAATTCTCTAGACAAAATCCTCAGCCACCTTGATCTAAATTCTTTGATTCCTTCTTCGCAGGGCCGATCCACCCATTCATTCACTTATATAACAACAGAGCTGTGTGTCAGGTACTACACAGGCAGTGTGGCTTACTAAGATGAATGCATGCCAGAGTAACTGCCTTCAGAGAGTTCCCAAAGGCTTCAACTCTTGCCCAAAGCCTTGACCCTTCAACCAAACTAAGTTTTAAACCTAGCTAGGGATCTGTCTTCAACCAAGCTTAAGGCCCTCTCACTGTCCCCCATAACTGCTCTCTCTCCCAAGCACGTATTTCTATTTTTTTAATTTTATTTATTCATTCATTTACTTTTAATTTGACCAGAGACAGATATAGAGAGAGTGAGAGAGGGAAAGTGAGAAAGCAAGCCACCAGGTCCAGGACTTGAATCTTAGTCAGTCATGTGGGAATGTCCAGCGCCTTAACCACCACACCACCTGCTGGTTCCCCACGCACATATTTCTAGAGCTTCAGAGACTGTTGTGCTACAGTGAAAACAGCACTAAGCTTGGAATTGGAAGATGTGACTTTATCACCTAGAGCTCCCAAGTGGTCGGGCACATTACCAAAGATGGTGTGAGGATAAAGAGAGCAGACATTACAGGGGTGGGTAAAACATAAAGCTTTGGACAACTTAATATGTTATCATTACTATTGGTATTCTCAGTTACCTCTTAAAACCAGGACTTAGGTTCATGGTGTACAACCTGAAGCCACACAGGAGGCTGGAGTTCAGTTCCCAGCCCAATCTGAAAAGGCCAGGTCTGATGGCATGCACCCAATGTCCCGACTAACCTTCCCACACACGCTCTCTTCGTCATAAAACGAAACAAAAACTGAGTTATTTTGATCTTTTCCCCCTTAGAAATTTAGGATCACTGAGTTAGAGAAGCTTGAGGCTATCTTCAACATCGTCACACTTACAGATGATGAAAATGAGGACCAAACAATGATCAGCCTAAGTCAGAGGTCACAGACTGGCAGCCCAGAGGCCACAGAGCCTAGAGAGGGCTGTTTGCCCTGAGAGATGTTGAAACATTCAGTATCTTAAGCCTCCATTTTAAAAACTGGGAGACTACATAAAAACCTGGATTCTCACTTCTCTTGACTGATAGATCAGACAACATGAAACTCACATCCATGCCTGGCAGCAGTGGATGGTGCTGAGAAGTGGTTTCCTCTTAGACAGGGTGAGGTACTCCTGTTCACCCAAGTCCTCACTATATCCAGTTATTCCGTCACAATAGCCTGGGATCAGCTACCATTTACCATCTCATTCCTGGTCCCTCGCTCGTTTTTCTTACCCGTCTCCCTCTGTGATTTGAGTCAGCCACCTTTGACTTATGATCATATACTTTTCTTTAATGCCTATATGGGGTGAGATCCAAGCGTCACTAATTCCTTTTTGAAAAAGTCTCACAATAGTCAACACAATCCCAATCAGAATCCTAGCTGGTCTTTTCATAGAAATTGACAAGATAATTCTGAAATTTATGGATGTGTACAGGGCCCACAATGGTCAAAGCAATTTTCAAAAAATTAGAGGCCTTAAACTACCTGATTTCCAGATTTCCTATAGAGCTACAGTAATCCAGACTACTCTACTCTCAAAAAGAAAAATGTATAGATCAATGGAATAAAGAGTCCAAAAATAGATCCACACATACAAGGTCAAGTGATTTTTGACAGAAGTAACACAGCAGTTCAATAGGGACAGAAGACTTTGACAAACGCTGCTGATACAATTGGATATCCTTAGAGAACAAAAAACAACAGTTGAGTACATAGACATTCAGTGTAACCACCAGGCCCAAACCCTGCTCTGCCACCTACCAGCCATGCACTGCACTCTCAACTCAGTTGTGTCTCAACTCTCATTCTCCCTTTAGCTGTCTCCAGCAAGTGCACATACCCTCTGGTTTAAACACACACACACATTTTTGGGCCAAAAACAAAAACAAATCAGAAGGCCAAATACACAATGTAGGCCTCCAGTTTGCAGTATCAGATACTGCAATATAAATATGTTATTTATATTTCTACAATATAAATCCCTTCTAGCCAGCAGAATCTACCACTATAACTATACATCAAAGATTCCGAGATATATTTTTTAAAAAATTGTGGAGAGGTTTTTGCTATAGGACACGTGTACTCACCAGAAAGAGAGAGACAGAAAGTGAGAAATCACAACCCTGGGATGGCCCCACCACAATCCCTTCTCCTCTATTCTCCTCTTGGGATCTTGGACATGCACGCACATGTGCCCGGCATGAGTTTAAGCCACAGGGTCCGGGACTCGAACCGCAGTCGCCTACATGGGATTTCAGCAACATAGCCATTGTGCCAACTGCTGGTCCCCAAACCTAATCTTTTCAGTCTTATCTCTGCTCCTCTCTCAGAAACCTCACTATTACAGAGCTACTGCTTATTTCAATATAAATGTAATGGTTTCTCTGAAATATTCAAACCAAATTAACACTCCACGTTGATGTGCTAATGATCCTGTGGTTTCTCAACACATGTTGCCCTTTGCAGCCAAACTTCTCAGACAAGTTTCCAAACCTGTCTCAGTTTCCTCCGTCCACTCCATGGCACCTCATGGCCTGGTGCCCACCAGCAACCTATGGGTGCATTGTGGGTGTGTGTGTCCAAA